GCCGGACCGCCCGGCGCCAGGGATCGCATCTGCCTGCTACTGCCCTGTGCCGGTACATAGGCGCATTTTGGGGTCTGGGGGTGAAAGCAGTCTGCTCCCAGCCAGGGCTGTGGGGTCTCAGGGGGACCCTGGCTCCCTCCTGGAGTGCGTGCCTGGCTACATCCCTGCGCTTGACAACCCGGTCAGCAGTTCCTGCTCTCCTCTCCTGTTCAGAGCATCTGGCCTTGCTGCAAGGATTGTTTTGCTTCAAGAAATAAATAAGTGCTTTGTATCCTAATAGCCATGGAAAAGGAGGATGTGCCAGACTTGGGCCCAAGGACACTGAACCCGTTTTCCAGTTTCACACGTGCTATCATCTATGGAGCTCGCGTGTGAGCCTACGTGCATGAGCACTCGCACCGTTTTGCAGCCACGCTGAGAGGGTTAGCTGTGAGAGGCTCGTTTGGGTTGTTTTCCCCTTTGCTTCTCCAAGGGAGGCCAGCAGGAGTGAAGTACTGAAGACACCAGCTCTGCTTCTCTGTCGATTTTAAGTGCTCAGTATAGAAGATCATTTAATGCCTGATATGTGGTTAAAAAGCCAGCACTGGGGAGAAGCGGGCGAGCTGCAGGAGCAGCCCCGCTCGCCCGGGCCAGCATAGGCTTGTCGGCCGCTGGCTGCCTTCCTCCCGCTGCAGCCAAAGCTCATGGGAGCCAGGGGATGGGGCCATGAGCAGCGCTCTTTGCAAAGGCCTTGCAGCTGATTTTTCAGTTTGTTTGGTTTTGTGAAGGCCAGGCAGGATTGCCCAGCTGGATGTGCTAGAGCTGTTACGGCTGAGCAAGTCAGCACCCATCAGCTGAACTGTGCCAGGGCAACACGTGCTCCTTTGTAGTCCATCCCAGCGGTACAGTCATCCCAAACAGCCCGGTTTGGTGGGTGCTTTTGTTTGGGGGTGTTATTTTCAGGGTGAGTGCAACCGAGTGCTGCTTCCCAACAGCAAATCATGGCATAAGAAACGTGGTATTTGCCCTCCGCCTCCTTTAATTCATTGATCAAAGAGATCCTTCAGCAGCAGCTTAAATTCACAGGTTGTTTGCAAACTTTGCCCACAAAGGTGCTGGCATGAGTTTTGGCTTTGGTCACCCCCAGGACCTCCAGGAGAAGCTGTAGTCCTGCCTTTATTTAGCAGGGATGGGGAGGTTTGCAAACTGTCAGAGTTAAACTGGAAACCGCCCCAAACCTAGGAAGACTGCAGAACACAAAGGCATTTGTAAACTAGTGTAATTACTTTCCTCAATGCCTTTGAATAAAGTTGGCTCCACTTTAAAGGCTTTTTCCTACCCTCATTTTACATTACATTCTTTCCTTTCTCCTGGTTTCTTTCTCTTCTAATTTCTATCTCCCCTCCCACCCCATGCCCTCTCCTTTTAGCTCCAAGCAGCTCCGAATTTCCAAAATCTGTATCAGCTTTCATTAGCAAAAACTTGGCGTTTGGACGTTTTCCTTTTGAAGGTGAGGATGACACCCAGGGAAGATGGATATCATCTGCTGTGCTGGTTTCTTGCAGCACCAGAGCCTGGGAGACTGCCCCAGGGCAGGACGGGGCTTGCCATGGCACCCAGCACCCACAGCCGGCCAGTGCTGGCCAGCCCATCACCGTGGCATTGGGGCCTCCTGACACTTACTTTAACTCAGCCTGATGTTTTCCAGATTCTTCTGGGCTATGTCGCATCCAGATGTGAGCAGAGGTCAGAGCAAAGTGGGGAAACTGAGGACGAAACTGAGCGCAGCCCCACGCGTGGCTCATGTGTGTTAATGGTGCTTGTTAGGATCACCGTGGGCAGAGCAGGTCTGTTCCGAGGAGAGATAGCAGGATGTGGAGCTGCTGTGTTGTACAGCAGAAGTATTTAATAATAAACCAGCATGATTTAAAAGGGCTGTGTTATCCATCCTGGGCCATTGCCCCATGCTGTTTGCAGAGCCCATAAGGTCGATAAGGAGCTGTCTGCTGGTGCTGGGGGGTCTGGATCAGGCCCTTTGGCCACAGTGGCCCTGCAAGGCTCACTCACACAGGCTGCTGCGGGCTCTGAACCGGAGCTGGACAGAGGAGTTATTTTCATGGAAAACCCTGACCTTTTGTACAAAAGCAAAGTGCAAACTGAGCAGTTTTAGTTTTCTAGTGAGTTAACTTTTTTTTGGTGGGTGTTTTCCCTGAAAAGCCAAATTTATCTGAAAATCTCCCGTTTCCTTTATTTTTCCTTACTGAGCATCCCAACTGCACTGTGCCAACTCAGCCACCGGCCACTTGCTCATGGAGTTGGAAATACTCTTGGTGGCTGGCTGAGCACAGAGATAGGGATTTGAGCATCCTCCCAATTCAGGTTTGTCCCCAGGAGGGATGATGGGTGTAAAGGCAGTGGTGGAGGAAGCCACTGACAGGCATAAGGAAAGGGTTTTCTCCCTATAAGATGTCCCGTGGGCGCTGAGCAAGGACTGGCAGCTCTTCCTCATCCCCTCCATGAGCACCCATGCAGAAGGTCCCCTTGGCTGTTGCGGATCCAAAGCAAACCCTTTGGGGTTATTTCAGGCAACAGAACGCAGGTTGGAGCCTGTTGTATTTGTTTTGTTTTGCTTTTCAAACCAAATTGCCCATCCCTGCTGAGCTATGTTGGTGGTGCGATGGGAGCCAGTTCCCGCGGACCTGTGGAGAGTCAATGGAAAACTTCCCGGTGGAAGCAGGAGCAAAGCTGGGCACATTCATCCTGCAATGTCGGGCTCTGGGAAAGCAGCACCCGGGCAGCCAAAGGAAGAACTCACATCCCTGCTTTTTGCCTAGGGTGAGCGTTTTACAGCTCATTGCTTTAGGGACTGGAGCAGCCTGATGGAATTTGGCAGCACTTCCAAAAAAAGAAGAGTGTCTTCTGGTCTCCCCCAACTTCAAGGACTCAGTGGGCAAAAAAAGGTCATTGTGAGAAAAGAAAACACGAACCTGAGTGCAGGCAAAGTGAGGAGCCCATCTGCATGTGGGGAATTTGTCTCAGAGAAGTCAGCAGGCATCTGTACCACTCGGCAAGGTGCAGTGTGGCTGCACAGTAGCCTGACAGCCCAGTAAAAACCATGGCAGCCAGGGCATCACCAGGAGATTTCCAGTTGCAAGTTCTGCTGTGGACTGGCTGCATGAAGTCAGGGAGCTCATTTAACCTCGTTATGCTGCAAATAATCTTTTTTAGTGCATATATTTGCTACCTTGTGTAGCACGGCATAAGAACTTAAGGGTTTTTAATGTGCTTTGATGTCCCTGGCTGAAGAATGCTCTATAAATGCAAAGTAAGTATTCTAATTTACGCAGTTTGTTTTCTTTTTAACATAACAAAATCCTTAGCAGCCTTTCTTTCTTTGACAGTTTCCATAGCTGGTGGGTCTGTTTCTGCTGTGCCTTAGTAAAACAAATCTAGGGTTTCACAGCGGCATATGCTCAGCGTGTTCCTCAGCTTCATGACCCGAGCAGTTCCCTTGTCGTCAGCACTGCAGAGTTAGTGGTGAAAATCTGCTCAAGTCTCCCTTTCGACTAAACCTGGTGATGGGGAAAGGTGGGTTGGTTTGGAGGGGAACCATAAAATGAGAGGCAAAGTGATTGCAAGCTCTGGAGCAGCTCTGCTCACAGGTAGCTCTGAATGAGACCAGGGCGTAAGCTGAATGCAGAGCAATTCTTCCTGAATAATGCTAGGTTTGGATATTTATTCTGGAATAAAAAGTGATTTCTTCCTGTTGGAGGTAACTCTCTGTATAAGCCACCCCCAGCAGCCTGCAAGCCCATGAGCGAGCCTCCCCTGCCCGGCAGCCCTGTGTGACCCACCTCCGTGTCCCCATCCTTCACGGTGACCCGCAGTGGCTTCCCACCCTGCAGATGCTGTGGGGTTGTGTGGGCAGAGAGGGCTTCTCCAGGGAAAGGCAGCCCAGGTGGTGCTTTCTAGGCCAAAGCCCAAAACGTACAGCAAGGGAAGAAGCTGATCGGAAGCCACGGCAAGGCAAATGTCATTTGGGAAGAGCCGTGCAGAAGCTGCAGGCAGCCCAGCCGCTCTGCAATGAATTGCTGCGGTGTCTGAGAGCCGAGGGAGCATCTCGGGGGGATAATCACAGCACGGCAAAGGCAGAAGGCTGTGTGCAATGGGAAAACGGTTTGCATCTCTCTAGCCAAGCGCAGATTTAAGGAAGCCATCCAGCCCTCTGCGTCTGCCCCAGCATCCAGAGGCATCCAGTGCTGCAGAGACTCCCAGTCCCAGCCGAGCTTTCCCTTATTTTTACTTTCTCCTGGTTCTTCCCAAGCCGTTGAACGTCACCGTGGCCATTTCAGAGCAGATACTCGGCTGGCGAGTCCCATCTCGGCGCCTGGCCCGGCCCTTCAGTACACGTCCCAGGTGTGGCAGTCGGAGCAGAGATGCTGGGGTTCAGGGTGTGCTTCCTCTCCGGGCTGACACTGGGCTCCTCCAGCGCCAGGGCACGCCGTGCCCCGCCACGCTGCCTTCTTAGGAGCTGATTTTAATTACGCGCTCCGAGACGAAAGAGAAAAAAAAACGAAGCCTTCCAACAGATTTTTATCTGCTGTTTATTTCCACAAATTGCTGCAGAAAAAAGCCTGGAGGGTTTTGATGGAGGTGGAGGCTGAGATAGCCGGCAACACAGAGGCTGCCGGGGTGCAGCCTCTTTAACCTCCCCTCCCG